TCTAAAACTCCCTTTTGAAAGTCCATGTGCTGACTCACCACTGTTTACAGCTCAGCACCTGCTCTTAACTTTCTGCCTTTACCTAGATAAATTAACAGCAGCTGACCTCTAGAGCGGAATTATTTTTGGGACTGTGGTGGTTGCTAGAATGATTTTACCCCAGTGGCACAATGAAAGCAAGCAAGTGCCTTCTGTGCAGACCTGGCTCTTCCAAACTTGACTTAGAATGTCAGACTGGAGTGGGGGGCTTAGACTTCCTCACCACCGCCCCCTTTTTTTTAAAGACAGGGTCTCGCTCTGTCACCCACACTGGAGTGCAGTGGCACAGTCATGGCTCACTGCAGCCTTGACCTCCCAGGCTCAAGTGATCCTTCCACCTCAGCCTCCTAAGTAGCTGGAACCACAGGTGTGTGCCACCATGCCTGGCTAATTGTTTTATTTTTTATAGACAGGATCTCCCTATGTTGCCCAAGCTGGTCTCGAACTCCTGGGCTCAAGTGATCCTCCTACCTCTGCCTCCCAAGGTGCTTGGGATTCCAGGTGTGAGCCACCGTGTCCAGCACTCTCTCCCAATTTTACAGGTAGAAAAACCAGCCCAGAGAGGCGCCTTGCCTTGCCAAGGTCTCCCTGAGAGTACCATCCATTCCAGGTAGCTCAGACACCTGCAGGATGGGCAGAAGGTACCAACCTGGTACTCAACTTCTGGAAGCCAGTGATGAGATGCCCCTACACATTCAGAGCCCCCATTAGCTCTGCAGACTGCTGTGGGCAGGGTGAACTCCCATGCATCCCACGGCCCTGGTGGCTGTTTACAGTGTCCTGTGACTGGGACATTCCCAATAGCCAAGTGTTCGTCCAAAGCTCCTCAGTCTCAGGAACCCACCATGAAAGTGAAAGACGCAACCCCAGATCCCAGGTGGGGAGTCTTCAGCCCAGGGTCTTCCAGCCTGGCCGCCGCCCCCAACTCAGGAACCTGCCTCTCTCTCCCAGATCCCACGCAGGCCTTACCTGGATCCCTGCCAATCTCCCAGGATGGAGACCAGCACCCCCAACCCCAGCTGAGCCCAGGACCCTGCCCACCCCCTCAATGCCCCAGACTCTCTCCCACTGGCTTGGAGGTGTTGGTGGTGAGAAAAGGAGGCAGGCAGGTAAGGAGAGGTCGTGATGCTACGGGGCCTGCAAGGCGTAGGCCGGTCAGTACAGGCTGGAGCACTCTGAAGCATAGGGTCTGGGAAAGGGGGTCCTGGGGGTGGAAACCCAGCTCCTTGGACATTTCCTGAAAGGTTTGGGGTGTCTTCTGAGCCCCTGGTCCCTGAGGCTGTTCCAAGACCAGCACACTCTGGGTTCCGTGAGCAGTGTGATCAGTCTTACAGTCTCCATTTTGTCCAACATGAAGTCCTGGGAGGGAAAATAGATCTCTCACCTGACAGTGTTTTGGCCTCTGGACGCTACTTCCTAGGGACCAAAGCATCGTCAAAGGCTGACCTACTTCTTTAACTCTCACAAGGGCCCTGCAAAAGACGTGGTATCAATGCCACTGGGCAAATGAGCAAACAGAGGCTCAGAGAAGTTAAGTGACTTGTCTGATGTGGCACAGCCAGGAGTGACAGAGCTGGATGACTAGGAGTCCAGATCCTGGTGTAATTTCCTGAATGTGGTTGCCTGCCTTTTCTCACTGCTCCTCCAAGAAGCCCACCCTGACTGCCCCCAGCCTCCTTCTCTGAAGGGCATTCATTTCTTAAGGACCAGATGAGCCTCCATCTCCTGTTGCCTAGCAGAATGCTGAGCACATTCAGGTGGCCCAATTCATGTTGGCTGAGTGACTGACAGACGTCAATCCAGAGGCCCAAACTGATTGTTGCTTGGGACCCTGTGACATCACCACATAATTTCTTCCTTTTTCTTGGGAAGCAGATGAAATTAAAACACTGTGACTATTTAGATAAATGTGTCCTTACTCAGAAATCTCATTTCTTTGCGATATGAATAAGTTACAAGCTGTATATAACTAGGGATGCCAATTACACAGACTTCAACTGAATGGGTGCCCACTGAGTTGTGCCATACAGCGGCCTCGATACTGCCTGTGAGGTTCCTGGAGAAGACCTTCTTAACTGAGCCACAGGCTTGCTCACTGCTGACTGTTGCACTGGACACTAGGGAAGAGACCTGCCCCTCAGTGTCCCTGGGGAGCTAAGTGTCCTGTGTTTGGACATCTGCACTGAACCTGCCTCAAATGAGGCAAGCACGTTCCGACCTAGGATGAAGTCAATGCTAAAGGTGGCAGACAGGAGAGTATGGAAAGGATGGGTCTTTGATGACGCCACTGAGCCTAGGATCACACCATGCCTGAAACCCACCAGGCACCAAACTTCCACTCATGATGCAAGATGTGCCCTGGTAGAGGAGCCAAATGACCTCAGAAAAGAACAAAGTGGGAAGACTCACTCTTCTCAATTTCAATATTTACTACAAAGCCACAGTAATCAAGACAGTATGGTACTGGCATAAAAACAGTCATAGAGATGAATGGAATAGAATCGAGAATCCAGAAATAAACTTTCATATTACAGTCAACTGATTTTTGACAAGGGTACTGAGAAAATTCAAAGGGGAAAAATAGAACTTTTTAAACAAATGGTGTCAGGACAACTGAATATCCTCATGCAAAATAATGAAATTGGACGCCTACCTTACATTAAAAAATCAACTGAAAATGAATCACAGACCTAAACAGTAGAGCAAAAACTATAAACTTCTCACAAGAAACAGGTGTAAATCTTCATAACCCTGGATTAGGCAATGTCTTTTTAGATATGACACGTAAAGGACAAATACATACACATACCCAAAGTAAAACTACTGGATTCTTGGCCGGATGCGGTGGCTCACACCTCTAATCTTAGCACTTTGGGAGGCCGAGGCGGGTGGATCGCTTGAGGTCAGGAGTTCAAGACCAGCCTGGCCAACATGGCCAGGTGTATTCTCTACCAAAAAATACAAAAATCAGCCACGTGGGGTGGCGGCGCATGCCTGTAGTCCCAGCTACTGGGGAGGCTGAGTCAGGAGAATCATTTGAACTCAGGAGGTGGAGGCTGCAGTGAGCCAAGATGGCGCCACTGCACTCCAGCCTGGGTGACAGACGGAGACCCTGTCTCAAACAAACAAACAAACAAAAAAACAAACAAATTGGATTCCATCAAAATTCCAAACTTCTGTGCTTCAAAGGACACCATCAAGATAGTAAAAAGATAACATGCAAGATAGGAAATATTTGCAATCACATATTTGATAAGGGACCTATATCCAGAACGCAAAAAGAATTCTTACAACTCAACTAAAAAAAGACAAATAGGCCGGGCACAGTGGCTCATGCCTGTAACCTCAGCACTTTGGGAGGCCGAGGCAGGTGGATCACTTGAGGTCAGGAGTTTGCGACCAGTTTGGCCAACGTGGTGAAACCCCATCTCTAATAAAAATACAAAACTTAGCTGGGTGTGGTGGTGCATGCCTGTAGTTCTAGCTACTCGGGAGGCTGAGGCAGGAGAATCTCTTGAACCCGGGAGGTTGCAGTGAGCCAAGATGCACCACTGCACTTCAGCCTGGGCAACAGAGTGAGACTCCGTCCCCCCCAAAAAAAAAAATCAAATTTTTTAATGGGCAAAGAATTTAAATAGATATTTCTCCAAAGGAGAGATACACATGGCCAATAAGTGCATGAAAAGATACTCCACATCATTAGTCATCAGAGAAGTGCAAATCAAAACCACAATGAGATGCCACTTCACACCCATTAGGAGGGCTAAATTAGAAAAGATTGACAATAGCAAATGTTGGCAAGGATGTGGAGAAATTGGAACCGTCGTACATTGATCATGGGGATGGTAAATGGTGCAGCCATTTTGGAAAAGAGTTTGGCAGTTCTTCAAATGCTAAACATAGAGTTAACAGATGACCCAGAAATTGCACTCCTAGGTATGTGCCAAAGAGAAGTGAAAACATATCTCTTCATAAAAATTTGTACACAAATGTTCATAGCAGCAATATTCATAATACCTAAGGAATGTAAACAACCCAGATGTCCATCAGCTGATGAATGGATAAACAAAAGTTCTATCCATACAAATAGGCCCATACCATGGAATATTCAGCCATGAAAATAAAGCACTGATTCGTGCTAGGGCATGGATGAACCTTGAAAACATGATGCTAAATGAAAGCAGTCAGATGCAGTGTATCTTTTTGGGAGTGATGAAATGTTCTGGAATTAGACAGGGGTAATGGCTGTGCAATTTTGACTATACTGAAAACACCAAAGTGCATAATTGTAAGGGATACATTTTATGGTATGTGAATTATATCTCAATACAGTTATTATTTTAAAAAGACACGCTCTGTTGTCAAAGCCAATCTGATCACGTTTTCTGTTACTGCAGTAACAGTATCCTGACTGATGGGGGCGATGAGGAGAGAAGCCCAGTGGACTTACAGTGTGAAGTTTAAGATGAGGACCCTGTGCAAGAGGCTCCCTCAGTCACTGAAATGCCCGCTGCCAGCGTACTCATATATGTAAGAGTGTGATCATACCTGTTTGCATCTTTGTGCGTGCAAGTTGATGTTTGTGTGCTTGTTTGCAGGTTTGTGTGTGTCTCATGTGTGTTGGTGTGCAGAAAGCACATGTGGATGTTGATGGGTATATACTGTGTGTGTGTGTGTGTGTGTGTGTGTGATGTGTCAGAGTGGAGCTACATATAAAGACCAGGTGGGAAGTTCCTCTATGCACCCTCTACACTGACCCTTCACCTAGTGGGTGCTCAGGTTTGTTGGGAGACTAATAGAGACCTTAGGACCTTACTGCACCAGGCACCCATGTAGCTACGGAAAGCAGAGCTGATGGGGGGCTAAATACAAATGCAGCCTGAGCTATGGAGCAGGACTAGCTCAAGTTGGAGGCTTGCCTGGGGCAGTCAGGAGCCCCGCGGCCATCTGTCTATCCTTACCTTAATCAGATTGAGCTTGGAGAAGAGATCCATGCTCTTGGGCATGCTGTGGGCAGAGGGGCAGCACTGCCGGGCCATGTTGGTGATGGTCATTTGCATGTAGCTGAGCAGCTGATCCTGCAAGAAAGAGAAGGAGGAGGCGGCTCAGGCTGTCTCCCAGCATCCCCTGCCCCTGCCCCAGCCCCAGCTCACTCCAGCCAGCAAAATGTCGTGGACAGAGCTGGGACGCCGGGAGTGTCCTTCTCATCATGGTCTGTATTCCTCTCCTGCGGGGCTTGGTTGAGTTCCTCCCCACCTCAGAGCCTCAGCATCCTCCCCTGCAAAGAGGGAGGTTGGACTAACTCCTTTCAGAAGGGTTTCCTGGCTGGAGGCATCAGGGTCCACACCTCGTTAGAATCTGAGGACTGGGAAGGGGCATGGAGTGGGGTCCTGGACTTCAGACCTCCAGGATCCTGGTCTGCTGCAGCAGCTTAGAGAGAAAGACCTCAAAGGGGCTCTGTAGACTGTGACCCCCCCAGCTCCCTCCCTAAGCCCCTTGCCTCGGAAGCCTCGTCTTCAAACTCAGAACCCCCAAGGCCCAGTTAGTCTGGACCTGAGCAGGCCTCACACTCACTCCATGACCTCATCCTGTGCAGAGAAGGTGTGCCCAGTGCAGCCCTGTGCCCAAGCCATGGTCCCAAGTGTCCTCCCGCAGTCCCTGAGGCCAGAAGAACATAGACTGTTGCCTCCGTTTATGGTGAGGAACCGGGGTCCAGCGGTGACCAGACCACATTCCCAAGGCCAGCAAGGGGCAGTGCAAGAGCTGAATTCTGGAATCCCTGGAATTCATGGCCATGGACTTTGGCCATGACTTGTTCTTTCTGAGCCTCATTTTTCTCATTTGTAAAATGAGTGTGAGTAAAATTCACCAATATTCAAGAACACCTACTCCAGGTCAGACTCTGTGCTAAGCACCACCTGGAATGATCAGAGACACACCAGGGTTGCTGAAGACAGTGCATAATAACCACTCACTTAAATGCCATTATTTTATTATTAACCACAAACATTATACAAGGACTAAGTGCTCGGCACAACAGGAAGCCCTGGGACTGGGCCAGTGGATCCCGGCTCCGGTTCTTGGCAGAGCTCGGTCCTGAAGTATCTGTGGCCTCAGTTTTCCCATCTGTAAAGTAACATTTGACCCCTCTAAGAGAGGTCCTTCGAAAGTAAACTGCCACCAAGGAGAAGTAAGTGGTGCAGGTACATCTGTGTGTGTGTCTGTCTCTATATATATCTCTGCGTATGTCTGTGTGTCTGTACATGTGTTTGTGTCTGTGTGTGTGTCTGACTGTGTCAGTGTTTCTGTGTGTCTGTGTGTGTCTGGCTGTGTCTGTCTCTGTGCATTTGTGTGTATGTGTCTGGCTGTGTGTGTTTGTCTATATGTCTGGTTGTGTCTGTGTCTCTGTGTATGTCTGGCTGTGTGTGTGTCTGTGTGTCTCTGTGTCTGGCTCTGTGTGTGTCTGTGTGTGTGTGTGTCTGTGTGTCTGTGTGTGTATGTGTCTGTGTGTGTGTGTCTGTGTGTCTATGTGTCTGGCTCTGTGTGTGTGTGTCTGTGTTTGTGTGTGTGTGTGTGTGTCTGTGTGTGTATGTGTCTGTGTGTGTGTATCTGTGTGTCTCTGTGTCTGGCTCTGTGTGTGTGTGTCTGTGTGCATGTATGTGTCTGTATGTGTCTGTGTCTGTGTGTGTGTGTCTGTGTGTCTCTGTGTCTGGCTCTGTGTGTGTGTGTCTGTGTGTCTCTGTGTCTGGCTCTGTGTGTGTGTGTCTGTGTGTGTGTGTCTGTGTGTGTGTGTGTGTGCTGGGAGTGATGACGGAGGCATCAGCTTCCCCTTCCCCACCCCTAGCCCCACCCTCAGGCCAAAAGACTGGACTCACACTATAGCTGCTGCTGGTGTGTGTGTTTGCGTCGAAGTCAATGTCCTTCTGGTAAGTGATGCTGTGCTCCAGCTTCCACCACTGCTCCTGCTTGCGGTGACACTTCTTCTGCAGCTGATACAGCCGGATCTTGAGGCTCTGACGCAGAGGGAATGGGTCATCTTGGTACAACAAACCCTCCAGGGCATGTGCCCTGGTCTGAGTCCCCAGGGTAGTATATGCAATGACAGGATAGGAGGAAGGAACACTTCTGGGTGGCTGGGGCCATTCAAGGCACCAGAGATGCAGAAAAGGGCATGTCCAGGCTGATGGAGTTTACCCGAGCCCCAGTTCCTGATGATTTTATAAAGGGGAGTTCCCCTACACAAGTTATCTTGCCTGCCACCAGGTAAGACATGCCTTTGCTCCTCCTTCAACTTCCACCATGATTGTCAGGCCACCCCAACCATGTGGAAGTTGAATCCATTAAACCTCTTTTTCTTTATAATTTTTTTTTTTTTTTTTTGAGACAGAGTCTTACTCTTTTTGCCCAGGCTGGAGTGCAGTGGTGCAATCTTGGCTCACTGCGACCTCCGCCTCCTGGGTTCAAGTGATTCTCCTGCTTCAACCTCCCAATTAGCTGGGGTTATAGGCACGCACCACCATGCCTGGCTAATTTTTGTATTTTTAGTAGAGATGGAGTTTCAGCATGTTGACCGGGCTGATCTTGAACTGCTGACCTCAAGTGATCTGCCTGCCTTGGCCTCCCAAAGTGCTGAGATTTCAGGCATGAGCCACCATGCCTGGCCCTCTTTTTCTTATAAATTACCCAGTCTCAGGTGTTTCTTTATTAGCAGCATGAGAAGGAACTAACACATGCTCCCAGCCAGGCCCTGTGGGATAGGAATTTGAAAGATACAGAACAGGCTGGGTGTCATGTGGTGGCACACGCCTGTAATCCCAGCTACGCAGGAGGCAGAGGCAGGAAAATCGCTTGAGGCTGGGAGGCGGAGGCTGCAGTGAGCTGAGATCACGCCACTACACTCCAGTTTGGGCGACAGAGTGAGACCCTGTCTCCCAAAAAAAGGAAAGAAAGAAGGAAAGGAAGAGAGAGAGAGAGAGAGAAAGAAAGAAAGAAAGAAAGAAAGAAAGAAAGAAAGAAAGAAAGAAAGAAAGAAAGAAAGAAAGAGAGAGACGCAGGACATACCCTTGTGGCCCCACTTCTCTGAGGCTTACTTTTCTCCGAAAATGGGAAGAATAGCATGGCTGGACTTGCCTTTCTCTAGTCCCAGCCTTTGGAATAGCAGCAGCTACCTGGAGGTGCTGGCATGAGATTTAAGTGAGATAAAGCACGTAAAGTGCTTCAGGCAGTGCCCAGCCCATCAATGAATCACATTCTCCAAATGGTACAAAGTGGTGCAGGCTTGCAACACTGCCACTAGGGGGCAGATGCTCTCTCCAAACACCACGCAGTAGCCCTTTGCAGTGAACCAACCAGCCCGTCATCATTCCTCTGGGATCCCTAAGTCCCCGGTCCCCGTGGCTGCACGAATCTTCATGATGCCACGCCTTTGTTAGGGCAGGCTCTTCCACCTGGAGTGCCCATCCCTCCCAGCGGAAGTCCTAATTATTATGAGATAACCACAAAGGAAGGGGAGGGAAATGATGTCTCTGGCACTGACTTTGAGGCAGTTTGTGTTGGTGCCTCACAAGGACCCTAGCAGCTAGAATGTGTTGCCCCCATTTGACAGACGCAGAAACTAAGGCTCAGAGAGGGTACAAACTAGTCATACAGCTAGTGGGTGGCTGAAGTGGGAGCTGAGACCCAGTCCCTCTGCATCCAGGACACATGGCTTTTTTACCACGCAGAACAACTTTTAGGCACGAGCTGAGCCTCAGGCAGCACAGGGGAGAGAAAGGGGATACAGAAGGCGGCTCAGGAGCGAGAGCCCCACCCAGGGCCCTCCAGCATTATGCCACGGCACCCTCCAGGCCCGCAGGAAAGGGGGCCCCACGCCCCCAGCTCCCTGGGCCACCGGGAATGGAACAGACTTCAGGCAGCTCTTACCGCCATGAGAGCCCTGTGACCCTCCTCTAGAGACTCCAGGCTCCGGTGGACGGCCTGGCTCATCTGGGAGAATGCCTCGAGGCGCTTCTGCGTGTCCTGGCTGGCTGTGAAGAGCTTCCCGTAGTGCTTCACCATGGCCTCCACCAGCACCTCCTCCGGCTCCTCCCATCCCGTGCAGCCTATGGAGACAGCGCCATGGCAGGATGGGTGGGTGCCCCTGCAATGGGCCATGCCAACAAGGTGGCCAGGAATTCCGTCTGGGACCACAAAGTTGAGAGGTGCAGGACAGTCCATGCCAGGCTGACCCCAAGACAGTAGGATGGTCCCGCAGCTCTCCAGGCTTGCCATCCATGCGCGCACCCCCACTCCCCCCCTGCCCCGCCCCCTCCACTTCAAAGGAAGCCTCAACCTTGGAAAGTTCAGCCAGAGACTGAGACAGGGATTCTGGATCGAGACTACCGAGCGAGGCAGGAGACTGCCCTCAAGGAGACGTTGCTGCTTGGGGGAGCCTGAGAAGGGGATAGGAATTGTTCCTGTCCTGGGTGAGCAAGTACCAAGTCCTGATGGTTATGCATTTTGGATGAGTCGAACAGGCAAAACTGCTGAATTAGGAAGGTCCCAAACCACGAGCAGCACTGGGTGCTGGGTCTGCCGCAAGCCCCTCGCTTGACCTGCAGCCCTGATTCCTCCTTGGTTCACTACTCAGTATATATCCCCAGCCTCCCAGCCACATCTCCCAGCAGCCCGGAGCTCACCACCCCCAAACCCACCTGGCAGCCCTGTGGCTGCTGCCTACGTTTGTGTCCCTCCCTCTGCCTGCAGGGTCATTCTCCCTTGCTACACCCATTTGAGCCCCATGAAAGGTCACCTCCTCCGTGAAGCCTTCCCTGACTTCCAAGGCAGAGGTTTTGGAGTTTCCATAACTCTTCTCATTCTAGCACTTAGTACAGTGGCTATGAAGTCAGATGGACCAGAGTCTGAGCCCAGCACCACCACTTCCTGACTGGGCGACCCTGGGCAAGTTCATTACCCTCTCTGGGCCTGAGTAACACAGTACTGCAAAGCTCATAGGAGGGGTATAAAAAGATTTACTAAAAAGCTTAGCACAGGGCACATATTTAATAAATGGTAATAATTATGTATTATTGATGGTGTTGAAATAATAATGACAATAAATATGTGTGACTCCCCTTCCCTTTTCTAATGAGTTTTCAGCACTCATAAAACAACACACGAAACCTCATCTCAGATGTCCTTATACTCTTAGTTAATAATAGCAAAACAAAAACACAAATCCGAAGACAAACAAAATAATAATAATAATGGCCAATGTTTACCAGGTACTAGCTATATGCGGGGCCCTGTGCTATGCTTATAAAGGATGACTTCATCTAGTCCACATAACTATTGCTCTTCCCATTGTACAGATAAGAAAATCAAGGCCTTGAGAACTTGCCAGAGGCCACACTGTTAACGACAGTGGAGCCAGGGTTGGGACCAAGCAGTCAGACTCGGCTGTCTGCACCCTTCCCCACCACTGTGGGGTTGGCCTTTGTGGGTTCCCATTCTGTACATGGGCAGCTCGCAGCTCCATGAGGCCACACACCGTGTGACAGTCCTGCAGCCAGGAGGCGGCTGCGGAGAGAAAGAGCTTTCCGAGGAAGCTGCGTACATACCCTCGGGGATTTTCTCAAGGACCTTAATCAGATAGTCTTCAAAAAGCTTGTGCTTCTCCACTTCTCTCTTGAGCTTCTTCTGCCTGTAGAGCCAGATGCAAGAACATGGCCTGGAGGCTCCCAGGTCATAGGACCCCCTGTGAACAAACCTGGGCCACCCTCTGTGATCTCCTGCTTGGACCTGCCCTGGGCCGGCCACGTACCACTTTATCAGTTGGCCATAGACTTAGGAGTCTCTCCACCTTCATTTCATTGCTGAGCAAACTGAGCCACAAGCAGGTCAAATAAATGCCCACAGCAGCATCTCCTAGGCAGCGAAGAAGGTGCCTAGACTTGAAGGCCAAGTCTTTCTGGCCAGAGTCTACGATGCCTCCTCTGGAGGCTGTGCAGGTGCCTCCCATCTCGGGAGACAGGCCAGCACCTACTAGCTGGTGATGTTGGACCAAGTGCTTCACCTCTTTGTGCCTGGGTAGCCCATCTACAGCAGGGGTGATGTGAGCTGCTGACCAGGGTCATGCGTGGGGCGCCAAGTGTATTGGGAGCGTTCCATCAGAGGTGGGTTCCCCACCAATCCCGGAGGGGAGAGGGCCACTTGCTATTGCCTGGCCATACTTGACTCTTCGGGGAATCCCTAAGCAAGTCTCCAACAGGTCACCTGTTCTGGACCCAGCCAAGGTCAGCAGTCAAGCGCAGAGACCAGAGCAGGGCGTGGCCTGGCCAGCTGGCTGAGCTCCCAACCCATTCTCTGGCTATCCAACAGGGGCTGTGCTGGGGGTCTCTGAGTGGCCCAGGGCAAGCCACTCTGCCTCTGTGGGCCCCCCTTTCTCATCCATATGGTTCTGAAAAGTGCAGAACAATATCATCCTTCCCACAGATACCACATGGGGCCCTGTGAGCCATGACGGTGCTAAACCTTATTGGAATCAGGAAGCCCTCAAAATCTGTTGGAATGGTTGGCCCTTCATAAAACTTTGCAGAGACACGTCCGTTTGCATCTAATTCAGGTTTTTGTGTGTAGTCTGAAATTTCATCTCCCCAACCTCCCATCCTCAGGGGGTGAGGACCCAGGGTCCCCACTAAGAGTCAAGGCGGCAATCTTGTAGACTGGCCTTAGAGGGGCCGAGTGGACAGGTGCAGACGGATGGTCACCCACAGTCCTCCTTCCTGATGTAGAGGCCCAGCCAGCAGAGGGCCCAGGACTGGCCCAAGATCTGAGGCCAAAGGGCAATAGCCACACCTCTTCTCTCTCCCATCACAGCTGTCGCCCAGCCCTGCCCCGCCCATTTGCTTCCAGACCACACTGCCCTCTTCATCCATCCCCTGTCCTGGCCTCCTCAGGGCCATGTTTGCTCAGTCCAGCCACTTAGCCCACCAGGGAGGCATTGGGGCTGGGGCTGGGGCAGGGCTGGCACAATGTGTACTTAGCCTGGAGCTGGTAGAGTTCCTGCCACAGCCCTTGAAGGTCCTCTTCCTTGTCACCAGGATTGCTTGGGCCAGCTCTCTGGCCTGTGTCCATGGCTGCCATCACCCCACTGCCACAAGCCACGCAGGAGGACAGGAGCCACGTGAGCCAGGCAGGATGAAGACAGACCAAAAAGGAACAGTCACAACTGCAGCTTCTTCTTCGGATCCTCGGAAGCCAGGGTTAGCATCCCCACCTCACAGAAAAGGAGACAGAGGTTCAGAGAGGGGCTGTAACCAGTTCAAGGTCATCTGGCAGGACTGGATGAGGACCCAGGGCTCATTAAATCCCAAGTCCAAGGTCTTTGGGCTGCATCCCCAGCTCTGGAGAGGTTGAGGGTGCCATTCTGTAGGGGCCTTGTTTCCCTTGCAGCCCTATAACTGGTACAGCCCCATCACCCCCAAGTCTTCAGTTCCTGGCCACCAAGATGCCTGGGAACTTTCAATAAGTGCTGGCTTCCAACAAATTCTGGAAGGAGTCATAGGGTCAGAGCCTGAGCTGGTTCGGAAAACAGCCTGCTTAGGGAGGAGGCAGCTTCATTATCATCTCTGCCCACCCACCCCCATCCATGCATTTATTCACTTAACCAACATTACATGCTCTGAGCTCGTACAGTGCTTGCAGAACTACAGTGGAGACTAAGCAGAGATGCTTCGAACAAGCTCATGGTCAAGCTGGGAAGATGGTCTAGTTACAAGTAGCTTCAACACAGCCTTGCAAACAGTTCCTGGGCCACTCGCCCAAGGCTGGTACGCAAGCATGACCCTCATTGGTCAACTGCTGAACCAGCCCAGTGCGTTGAGGAGAGAAGGTGAGGGGCTACAAAGTCAACCTTTCTAGGCCTAAGCATCAAACACAGGTAGACAGGCACTATAGGAGGAAGGGGCCTAGCTGACTCACCTACAGCTCCAGGAGCACAAAGCCACAGCCAGGCTGTGACATCACAATGCTGGCTTCTGTCCTCATGATGTGTCCATTGCAGGATCCACCTGTGGAGGGCCAGATTCTCCATGGTCCTAAAACCTCCCACCCCCACCGCCCAGTCCCATTCCCAAGAAGATGGGGAGGAAGGGCATTGGCAACCCCATGGGAAACTTGGGCTATTTTTGTCCTTTCTATCCAGGCTGGTCTGCTTTATGGGCTGCCCAATTCCCATTGGCCTGTCTTGGGACTCTCCCTCGACCCCATCCCACCTGAGCTTGGTGGCTGCAGCTCAGGCATTTCCCCATCAGCCCCCCAAGACTCAGCCCCCCAAGGTTCAGCCCCACCCATGGCTCCGGACCAGGGCTGGCTCCGTGCAGGGGGTGGGAGCAAGCTGAAGGACCCATGTCTGGCAACTGCCCCTGCCTATGGCTTGGCCCTGAACCTCCTGTTGGAGCTACTGGACCTGTGCCACCAGGGACGGTGGGGTGGGTAGGGCTGGGCCTCATGCCCACCCTGACATCCCACCCCCACCACACTCACCACCATGCTGGCTGGGCTGGCCTTCCCCCTCAAAGGCTTCCATTGGCTCAGAGCTGGGTCACCTCAGATGACTCCTGGGAAGTCACAGCTCAGTGTGGGCTCCACTCGGGAGGAACGCTGTGGGTAGGAAAGGTCCCCAGAGAGGGTGAAGGAGGTAGGAGCCAGGGCAGGGCCTGAGCTGGAGAAGGGGCCAGGAATGAGGGAGGGGCCGGGGTCCATTCGGGGGCAGAGCAAGGGCTGGGGTTTCAGGTCTGTGGTTGGAGTTGGGGCAAGGCTGGGGCAAGATCTGGATCAAAGGCTGGGGCTGGGGCTGGGGCCAGGGTCAGGGCTGGGCTGGGGGCAGGGGCAGGGATTTGGACTCATCTCCTTCACGACCCCTCACCAGCAGGCAGTGAGATTAGCCCCTGCCAGCTCAGGAGTCCCTGACAGGTGCCCGGGGCTGCCTCCCCATGGTCCTAGAGCCCCTCGCTTATGTGCTGAGCACCAACTGAGAATGAAGGTGAAGGGTCCTGGCTCTGGCCTTGGGTTCAAACTCAGAAGGGAGGTGGATGCAGGTGTGGGCGGCATGGATGCAGAGGGAGAGGAGCTCAGGGGCTGGGGTTGCCCAGAGAAGGAGTCGGCCCAGTTTGAGGAGGAGTGGGGGAGTCCCCCAGAATCGGCAGTGTCCGAGGTGTTTCACGAGGATAAGAATGAGAGGAGAAGGTGGGAAGGGCATTCTGGCAGAAGGAATGGCAGGGACAAAGGTTCGGAGGCACAGAATAGCTTACACAGCCTGTGCGAACCGTAGACAGAGCCTTCAAAGCAGAAGGGGGCTATCAGGGTGGGAGTGGTTTGGACTGTGGCTGGTGAAGGTGTTGGCAGGAGCCAAAGGGTATCAGCCAGCAGCAGAGACTGCCCGGGTTACTCTGGGCAAGGAGGGATGCATGGGAGGCTATAGGGAGGCACAGAATGAGAAGAAACGCTGAAAATCCAGCTGCAAATCCAGAGAGGACAGGCACCCAGGGCAGCCCTGGAGATCCACGCAGCAGGAACTCAGGGAGGCGCTCCCAGAATGAATCCTTCCCAACCCCTTTTCATCATCTTCTCCGTTCTCAAGAATCAAGAGAGGGTGCCCAATTGGCTGAGCCTGGGCCATGTGCCCACCCCTTGGCTTGACTGACACTCATATCCTAAGAGCCTGCCGTGGGGCCCAGAAGTTTCCCAGTGCAAACCCTGGCGCTGTTCCCAGAGAATCAGGACATCTGAGCAACAGAACCCACAGGTGCTCCTCCGTGGAGGCTCAGGGACAACTGGGCTGCATCTCCAGCTCTGGAGAGGTTGAGGGTACCACTCTGTAGGGGGTCTTGTTTTGCTTGCAGCCCTATAAATGGTACAGCCCCATCACCCCCAAGTCTTCAGTTCCTGCCACCAAGATGCCTGGGAACTTTCAACAAGTGCTGGCTTCCAACAAATTCTGGAAAGAGTCACAGGGTCAGAGCCGGAGCTGGTTCAGAAAGCAGCCTGCTTAAGGAGGAGGCAGCTTCATCACCATCTCTGCCCACTCAGAAATGTTCAGAGCATTTCTGCACATGCTCTCTGGCTCAGAGTGGGGGTGAGGCCGGCAGCGCGGCAGCGGGAGTGACTCATGTTTGTGTGGCACAGGTCTAAGCACTTCCATGCAGGGGTTTGTTCATCTTCATGACACACTGAGGTCAAAGCTATTATTTCACAGAGGGCAACACTGAGGCCCAGAGAGGCTAAGTAACTTGCCCAAAATCTCACTGTTAGAAAATAGTTCCGATATTAATCCAGAAAGTCAAGATCCAGAACCATCTAGGAGGTTGAGTTGTTAGGACCTTGAAGCTGATTGATAGGGGATCCTACAGCAGGAGGCTGTTCTTGGGAAAGACTCCATTAGCACCTCTGGGTATGGGACCTTCACTGGGGACAGGCAGACCACTGAGCCTCCTCTGGCCAGAAGCAGATGCTGGAGAAGGCGCGCCAGACCCTCGTCCCTTCCCACGCTCAAACATTCCAGGACTTTACTTCCCAGAAGTTAAAGGCTGTAAACCACTTGACCCCATACAGCCATAGGTGGGGGAGGGAAGGTAGGTTTGGAGTGGGGATGGTGGCACTATTTGCTTTCCAGTGACAATTGCATTTTTGGCCTGAAGTGTCCCATAGGTGCTGAGAGAGCACAATAGACAAGGCTGGCAGAGGCTGCGGCTCCTTGGGAGACGTTTCTCCCGCTCAGGCCCCTAAAGAGTGACTGTCACAAGCACCAGGGATTGAGTCCTGTCATGGATTTGCCACTGCCTGACTCTTTACTGGGAGTCTCTCGTTTCATTCTCGGAACAGTCCTCTAGGGTGGTGGTAGCACTGCTCCATTTTGCAGACGAGAAAACTGAGTCTATGAGGCGAAGTAACTTGCCCAAGGGTACAAGTTAATACAAGGTAACAGGGCTGGCTACACAGTTTGTGGGGCTCAGTACAAAATGAAAACACTGGGCTCCTTGCTCAAAAATTATTAAGAATTTCAAGATGCAATAGCAGAAGATAAAGCCAAATGTGGACTCTTGTGAGTACAGATCCTGCATAACTGCATACACCCCTCACTGGGATTTGGACCCAGGTCCAGGGATTCCAGACCTAGTTATTCTCCATTCTGCTCCTTAAAGGCCACCAGCCTGCCTCAGACGCCTCTTCACCACCCTGGTTCTTCCTCTTCTTCCTTGCCCTTCCCCAGCCTCACCCAACCAGCAGACCCCACCCTTCCCTAATTAGGGGAAGACTCAAGCACTTACATGGAGGTGAAAGGAACTTAAGAAAAGAAATGATCAAGGCAGAGAGACAGGAGCTGCCACAGTTACACAGCGGTGAGGGCACAGGTCTCCCAACTCCCAGACTAGCCTCTACCCAGGGCCTTGGGCAAGAGAAATCCAAGGCAAGTCTGTCTGTTACAGACAGCTGGAAATCTTGGGAGCTGGGAACCTGCTTCAAGGACAAAGCTGCAATTAAATGGCAATAGAACCCCTTTTCTTTTCTTTTTTTTTTTTTTTTTTTTGAGACGGAGTCTCGCTGTATCACCCAGGCTGGAGTGCAGTGGCCGGATCTCAGCTCACTGCAAGCTCTGCCTCCCGGGTTTACGCCATTCTCCTGCCTCAGCCTCCTGAGTAGCTGGGACTACAGGCACCCGCCACCACGCCCAGCTAGTTTTTTGTATTTTTTTGTAGAGACGGGGTTTCTCCGTGTTAGCCAGGATGGTCTCCATCTCCTGACCTCGTGATCTGCCTGTCTCGGCCCCTCAAAGTGCTGGGATTACAGGCTTGAGCCACCGCGCCCGGCCAGAACCCCTTTTCAAAAACCTTCACAAGGACTCCTGGGGCTGGAATCTGCCACCAGGCTTGGGTCACCAGGCACAGCAGAAGGAAGGGCCTGATCAGGCCTTCTGCAGAATTCACCCCATCTGGTCTACAACCCCAAATGCCCCCAGACAGGGCCAAGGCCAGCCCTTCCTCAGCCATTGACGCTCAGGATGCAGAGTGGGGCTGTGGGTTGAGGCAGGGCTACCAGCTGTGTGGCCTCAGGAAAAGCACTGACCTCTCTGAGCTTCAGTTTCCTGAAAGGCAAAGTGTGGGTAATAGCACCTAGGGATTAAATGAGATAATCCACGTAGAACACTTAGCATCTTCTTGTTTTTGTGGAATTAACCCAAGTGTGCATAGGAAGAAGTCTAGAAAGATATAAATGAACATTTTATGTCTTAGGGGCAGGGAAAAGGGGCAACTTTTAAACTAGCACAACTCTTTAAGAGAGTGTCTGTTCTGACCCTTTAGGAAAGCAAGCAGCCCAGAGCTGACCTGTCGTAGGGATTCGATGGACGTTAGTTTTGTTTCCTGCCCATCTCTTCTCTTTCCGTCCAGAGGATCACAATGGCCTGATCTCCTAACACAAGAGCACAGGAGCTTCGACAGAGGTTGCTGGGGTTGGCTGGCAAAGGTGGCTCTGGTGGGAAGGGGTGAGAGGGTGCAAGGAAGACAAACTTGGCCTGTTGATTAGGCCAGAATTTTACTAAGAGCTGGCACGACATAGCTCCTCCCCCATTGAGACAGAATCTCAGCAGTCTACCTCTGCCCCTCCTTCCATTTCTGGCACAAGAGGTAAAGCCAGGGCATCCCGGGCCCAGGAAGCTGTGCTGGGGCCCCGCCTCCTCTGAAGCCCCCAGCCTGGCCCAGCACCCACTTCCCTGTGCCCCTAACCTCATCTTTGCTCTGCACCAGGAAAACCTCCAGGTCCCAGAGCTGGGGAATCACCCAAGCAGGTCCTAGGACACTGCGAGGCTGTCTCCAGCTCAGTACTCCCAAGACAGGGCCTTCCCGTGGGGGAGGACGGAGGCTCTGGTCATGGTCCCAGGGGCCACAGGGGAGATCTGGGCCTTCCGGTGTCTATGATACTGACATCCTGCCACCCCTCACCTCCATAGAGTAGCTCTTAGGAGATGCCCTCCCAAGAGGCAGTGTGGGAAGGGGCTGCTCTGACCAGAGGGAGCCAGGGCTGAGGGGCAATCATCAGCTGTTTTCTCTCGTCCCAGAACCGCCACCTTCCTAGGAAGAATCACTGAGGTGTGGCCACAGAATGAGTTTACGGACCCTGCAGGCCTGGGTTCAAGTCATGCCCCTCCATGCCACCTTGTCACCTCCTGCTATGAACCTCTTGGTTGAGGTTGGCCCGGCAAGGCTGTTAACTCTGCCTCCAAAATCTTTGGAATCTCCTCACTTCTCTTCACTGGCCCACGCTTGTTCCACCTGGGGCAAGCACTGGCTTTCCCTGCTGTTCTCTCTGCTCCTGTCCCCTGCAGGCTACTCTCCACCTGGCAGCCAGAGAGAGCTCGTCTTAAAGCGAAAACCAGATCTCCCCATTTCCCTGCCAAAACCAGTGATGTTTAGGTCAACAGTGAGCGGGAGAAAAGCCAAGATTTATGGCATCCATCAATTTCTGTAGTGTCAATCCTCCCACCATGGCCGATTTCAAGCTACTAACAATTTAACAACCGGTTTGCAAAATGCCTGAAGACTTAACAGTGGCTCTTATGAGCTGGTCTGAGCTGGCTGCAGCACACCACCACTTTAAAAAGTGACAGATGAAGTTCACGTCCTGGCTGACGAGGCTCCAAATGCTCTGGCTCCCCCTTGCCCATTCTTCTCCCAGTGGCTTTTCTGTTCTTCCTGGCCGAGGGCCGTTGCACCTGTGCTTCCCTCGGCCTGGAGCACAAGTCTCTAAACTCTTTATAGTACTCTCTCCCTCTGGTCTTCCAGATCCCAGCTCAGAACCCACCTCCTCAGAGTGGCCTTCCCTGACCATCTCAGGTCCCCCAACCCACCTTACTCCGGGTGACCTCACCCCTGTGTGGCTCTATTTTAGCACTCCTTACTGTGGATTTTCTCCCTCCTCACTGGAATGTGATCTCCATGAGGTCAAGGACTGGGACCAAATTGTCCCTGCTTGAGTCTCAGTGTCTAGAAGGATAGTACTGGACACACAGCAGGCGCTCAATAGATGTATGCATACAAACAGAGCTTCAGAGATGCACGGCTTTGGGTTTGAGTCACAACTCTCCCACCAACCACCTATGTAACCGTCATGAATCACTCAATCTTTTTGAGCCTCTGTTTCCTCATCAGTAAGTGGGGGACAAAAACAGTGCCTGTGTGATGGAGCTGTGAGGGCCTGATGATGACACAGGTAAGGCACTCAGCACACTGTCTGTCCTAACAGGACCTCAGTCAATGAGAACGGCCTCTTCACTTCATATATTCAGTGACGGGCAGCTCATCCCCTCCCAAGGGAGGCTCCTTATCCACCTCTGGGTCACTGTGACCACTAGAACATCTGCCCTTTCTTGTGTTAAATCCAAATAAGTCTCTTCCAGTGTCCCCTGCCTCAGTCCTAGTTTAACAACTTCCCACATGGCAAGTCTCTTGCTATTAAAACCACTTTCTTAATGTTGGCATGACGGTTGATAGAATCGTGCTTCAGGATGAAAGGAACACTAAGGGCAGGTCAGGCATCCCTTGGCAGCTCTCATCAGTCATGAGCTGTCTGGCCTTGGGCAAGTCCCTCACCCTCACCCAGCCTCAGTTTCTTCCTCCATGAAATGAGATTAGCAATAGTACCTACCTCCTTGGGCTGCTGTGGAGATGAAATTAGCTGGTGTACATAAAGCACTCAGCATCTAGCTCAAAGAAAGTGCTCAAAAGACGTCACTATTGTCACTATTACCATGCCTGGTGCAGGCCCACACCCAGATCTAGTGTCTGTGGCCTTTCTCTGCCCCAAAGGCCAGGCCTCTCCTGAATGTTCTCCAGCCAAGCTGGAGAAAGAGCCAGTTCTGGCTCACCCACCTCAATCTGCACCCCAATCTGTCAGAGCTGCCCCCTCACAGTCCACAAGAGGGTGACTCGGAGCTTCCAAAATCTCCCATGGGACTACCTGACCCTGGGCAGTCATTCCATCTACTGGGCTTAGAAGGAGATGTCCCCAGCTCCTGGAAAATAAGCTGGCCTGGAGTGGGAACTAAGAGTGGCTCAGTCCACTCCGTGCTGGGGTGGCTTCTGCCAGCTCCCTGGGTGGCCTAGACCAGCCCTCTTTCTTATCTTTTTTTGATGGATTCCTGATGTTCTTAAAAATGCTGATGGTGGCCGGGTGCGGTGGCTCAAGCCTGTAATCCCAGCACTTTGGGAGGCCGAGACGGGCAGATCATGAGGTCAAGAGATCGAGACCATCCTGGCTAACACGGTGAAACCGTGTCTCTACTAAAAAAATACAAAAAACTAGCCAGGCAAGGTGGCGGGCGCCTGTAGTCCCAGCTACTCGGGAGGCTGAGGCAGGAGAATGGTGTAAACCCGGGAGGCAAAGCTTGCAGTGAGCTGAGATCTGGCCACTGCGCTCCAGCCTGGGCGACGGAGCGAGACTCCGTCTCAAAAAAAAAAAAAAAAAACCAAAATGCTGATGGTGGTAGAAGAACACGGCTGAGGAGATCATGTAGGAGCTGAAGTGAGGAAGGAGGAGGACCAGGAGAGTGGTATTCCAAAAGCCGAGAAGGAAACAGACCCGAGATTGTCTAGGAAAGAAACAGATCTAAGATGCCACCAGGATTCCCCTGAGTCCCTGGGGCTGTGAATGTGGTGAACAGTCACATCTATGATCATGTCACCTTTCATGGCAATGGAGATTTTGTAGATGTTGTTTACCAATCAATTGACTTTGAACTAGGAAGATTGCCTATGGGTCTAACTGATTACACAAGCCCTTCAAAAGCAGAGTATTTTCTCTGTGACTGGTAGAAGAGGAAGTCAGAGATTGGATGGGTGAGAGGGATTCAATGGGAACAGAGAACAGAGGTTCTCATTGCTGAGATGGCAGGGGTCATAGGGCAAAGACCGGAGAAGCCACTAGGAGCTAAGAACAGGTCCCCACCAGCAGTCAGAAAGGAAACAGGGACCTCAGGCCCATTCCCATTCCCTCCTCCCACCCCCTCTCCCATCCCCTCCTCCTACCCCCTCTCCATCCCCTCCTCCCACCCCCTCTCCCATCCCCTCCTCCTATCCCCTCTCCCATCCCCTATCCCACTCCCTCTCCTATCCCCTCCTCCTAACCCCTCTCCCATCTCCTCCTCCTACCCCCTCTCCCATCTCCTCTCATCCCCTCCTCCCATCCCCTCCTCTCATCCCCTCCTCCCATCCTCTCCTCCCATCTTCTCCTCCCATCTATTCTTCTCATCCCCTCCTCCCTTTCCCTCCTTCCATCCTTTCCTCCCATTCCCTCCTACCATCCCCTCTTCCTGTTCTCTCCTCCCGTCCGCTCCTCCATCGTTTCCTCCCATCCCCTCCTCCCATTGCCTCCTCTCTGGCCCCACCCCTCCTCCAACTCCTCCTTCTAGACTCCCCCACCGCTCACTTTTCCTCCCTGACCTTCACCCCACCTTGCACCCCTTTCCTCCCATTCCCTCCTCTCCTCTCTGGCCCCACCCCTCCTCTCACTCCTCCTTCCAGATGCCCCCACCCCCCTACTGTTTCTCCCTGGCCCCTCCTCTCCCCCACTCCCTCCTTTCCACCTCCCTCCCACTCTGTCCTCCCTGAGGCTGTACCTCCTGTGGGTAGAAAGTGTATATTCCAGGAGCTGACTCTGCTTCTGGCACTTAGCAGGGTTCGTGGCATTTAATTTGTGCCTTGAAGTTAAAAATAATAATAGTTCCACTTATTGGGCACTCGCCTCCCGCAGCCCCTGTCACGGACTTGCTGGAGTGTTACCTCTTTGAAGCCCCACTGCTGCCTGTGAGGAAGCCGCTGCTGTCCTGACTCCTGCGTCACAGGTGAGGACCTGGGGCTGCCCGCCTCCAGAGAGTGGAGGGAGGAGGGAGGGAGCCAGGCTGCTGGACCAGCGCCCACACCAACCCCACGCCAGCCGCTCCCAGGGCCCACACGGCCCAAGGGAAAGGGCATTCCAAGCCCAAAGGGTTCAACAGGCCAGACACAGATGGACAGACGGTGGGGCAGAGGCAGAGCCATGAGGAAAAGGAGGCTGTGCAAGTCGTCTGGGGCTGACCACAGAGGCCGCAGAGGCCCTACCAAGATCTGGCAAAATGCAGTCACCTGTAGCCTGCTTTCATTCTCTCCAGGCCAGCCTTTCCCAAAAGGCGATGCAGTAGCCCTCAGGTTGGACAGGCACCTGGGTCAGAAACCAGACCTCTGGGCACTGCAGCCTGGAGATCATCTGAAGGCCTCTGCAGTCCTTTCCTGGGACATGTGGCACAGCAGACATTTGATCCCACTGGGCCACGCAATGCTGTTAAATATAAAGCCAGAGCCCCTGAGGGCAGGGCAAAGACAGAGAGGCCAGCTGGACCTCCAGGAGGGCCATGGGCAGGCCGTGCACCAGCATCCAGTCAGCACTCGTCCCAGGAGCCTGGGGCTGGCAAGCGCCCTGTGGGCTGCAGGGTATCCACCCTCGGGGCACAGCCCTGGCTGTCGATGTGACTGCCCAGGTCACACGCTCTTCAGGAGCCAGGCCAAGAGCTATGACAGTGCAGTTTGGAGGGGATGTGGCCGGCTTCAGTGGCACCAGGAAAAGTGGGAAGTAAGGGAGAAAGGGCAAGGAAAGAGAAAAAGCTGGACCCTGCATCAACAGACTGAACCTAGAAACATGTTTTGAAGTCTCTGTGCTTCCATCTCCTTAGCTGTGAAGTGGAGATGGCTACTTTGGACCATGAGAAATATCAATATCAAATGCCCTTTCCTTTCATGCCCTCACCTTCTTCACCCAGTGTCAGCTCAGGGGGCCCTGAGCTTCCTGGAAGGTCACCTTACCGGGTGTGTACAAGACCATGCGTGTGCACGAGTGTGTATGAGAGTGCCTGTGTGCACAAAGATTGGCAGCAAACATGTATGTTAATTGAATTCTTTTTTTTTTTTTTTTTTTTTTGAGACAGGGTCTCGCTCTGTCTCCCAGGCTGGAGTGCAGTGGCGCAATTTCAGCTCACTGCAACTTCCACCTCCTGGGTTCAAGTGATCCTCCCACCTCAGCCTCCTGAGTAGCTGAGACTACAGGTACACGCCACCATGCCTAGCTAATTTTTGTATTTTTTGTAGAAAGGGAGTTTCACCAGGTTGCTCAGGCTGGTCTCAAACTCTGTCTGCCTCGGCCTCCCAAAGTGCTGGGATTATAGATGTGAGCCACCAGGCCCAGAGGCTGAATTTTATCCAACAACCAATTATTTTGAAATGATGTGGGGCAGGAAGTTGCATCCCAGGATTCACAAACTGTTCCAAAATAATTATCCCATTTTTTATTTCTGTTTTTGAAAATATTTAGGTACACTTGATTTAAATTACAACTGACTTATGATTAGAATTTTTGTTCTCAGAGAAAAAAGATTGGTAGATGCAGCAACTTCCAGTTGCTCATCTGGTGTCAGAGGCACTCAGAGGGTGGAAGGGCCTGTATTCCTACAAGCTCCACAGTGCACTCCCTTCCTCCATTTCTCAGGGATCTGCAGAGGGGAAAGGTTTGCATAGGGTCAGAACTTTCCAGAAGGATGAAGAGCAGCACACTGGTGGTTAGGCTCAAGTTCTTTCCAATGTGTGAGGTGCCTCACATGCCTGCAGAGTTGTTAGTTTACACGTCTCACATGTGCTCATACGTGCACACACTGGGGCATCCACACACGCACCTGCACGCATGTGCACCAAGAAAGAGATGGAGTGCTGTATTTGTAGAAAACAGGAGACTTCAACAGGTACTTAACATTTTTATAAGACTAGTTTGGCTGGGTGCGGTAGCTCACGTCTGTAATCTCAGCACTTTGGGAGGCTAAGGCGGGCAGATTACCTGAGGTCCGGTGTTTGAGACCACCCTGGCCAAGATGGTGAAATCCTGTCTCTACTAAAAATACAAAATTTAGCTGGGTGTGGTGGCAGATGTCTGTAATCCCAGATACTCAGGAGGCTGAGGCAGGAGAATCGCTTGAACCTGGGAGGCAGAGGTTGCACTGAGCCAAGATCGCACCACTGCACTTCAGCCTGGGCAACAGAGCAAGACTCTGTTTCAAAAAAAGACTACTTCATTTGTCCACTGTTGTACTAACTCTTCACTTAAATAGTGTAAACTATGTGTGTGTGGTGTGCTGTCAGCTAAGCACCATCTGTGTGTGTGTGTGTGTGTGTGTGTGTGTGTCTGAATGCACCAGCTACAAGCATGGCTGAGACTTGCCTAGGACTCCCCTTTCCTGCTTGAAGGAGGACCCCAACCTGCACGTGGTCACTATGGCTGTTCTTTCTGTGCTGCTCAAACCACAGCCACATGTTCCCCTGCTGGTGGCCTTCAGAGCTGGTTTACGAGCCCCATTCAGTGAATCATCCCATTATATAACAGTCACAAGGCACTGGAAATCCGCTCAGTTCTCCTGGTGGCAGCTATTCCCGAAATCCAAAGCTACCTCTTTGTCAGCTTGGCCCAGGCCCCGTTCCACTCCCTAAGAGCCACTTCCCACTGCCCCTGCTCTTCAGCCAGGCTTCCTCCCCATGGCACTGTGGATATTTGGGCCCTAATTCTATTGGGTGGGGGGGGACAGGCATGGGTTCTGCCTGGTGCATTGCAGGATGTTTAGCAGCATCCCTGGCCTCTGCCCACTAGATGCCAAGAACATCCTCTCCTTTCCCCCAAGTTGTGGCAACCCAAAATGTCTTCAGGAATTGTCCCCAGTTAAGAACCACTGTCTCCAGCTGACCACCATCCCCTCTGTCTCTGTCAGCAAGTTTAAGCTAATAACAACCTCTAACATTTATAAGTCTTTATTCTAAGGGATATATACATATACGAATATGAACATACATATATGGATATATACATATATGAATACTATATATAAATTATATGTAACTTGTATTGTATACTATGCATATATTATATTAATATATACACATATTGTATATATATGAGTGTATACATATACAATACACATACACATATATATACACAGAATGTTTGGGGGTATTATGTCATAAAATCTTTGCAAACTTCCTGTGAGCTATGGATATTATTCTCCTCCTCCCTGCAATGTGTATCAGGAAACCAAGGCAGAGAAGTTAAGTAGGCTCTCTAAGGTCACACAGCTAGCTAGCAGTTGCGCTGGCAGATGACTCCAGAGTCTAGGCTCTCAGCCACTGGGTTCTGAAGAGGGATCTGGGGCAGTCACATTACCAGCGAGTCTGTGCTGGGAGTGGCCCTCAGTCTGATCTCCTGTGGCTGGGAACAATAAGGCACAATGACATTGACACCCGAGTTGCCTGGGCTTGAAGTCCCTGGCTGCTTCCTGAGGTTTGTGATCCATTGCAAACCACAGCCTCCTCACCCCTAGGCATTGCTGGGAGTCTCCAGGAGGTAGCAGGCATCTTGAATGTGCCCATGAGGAAGTCCAGCCTGCCATCTGGGCTCAACCTTCTCCAGTGTGGTGAGGTTCCTGCCAATGTGCCCCACAACCTGAATTGAAGGTCTATGGCCTGATGAGATTATCATGGGAGGAAGCTATGGAAAAGCACTGCATGGGTTTCTGGAAGTCATGGCTCCTACAAAGGCTTGACAAGCCCCTCTTGTTCCCCAGACTCGCTTCCCCTTTCCTCAGGAAAACGATGTTGGAACATGAGCTGCAAGGAGCTCCCAGATCTGACATTCCTGGCTGTTCTGATCTTTCGGTCCTCTGCAGGATGGAGGCTGCGTGGCTGGAGATCCCACCGTCACTGAGTTCAGGCAAGTCCCATGAGGGCCTCAGCTCCTCATCCGTAACATCAGGATGATAAAGCCTCCCTCGCAGGATGGCTGTGCAAGTGCCCAGATCCCAGGAGAGGGCTGGTAAATGGGCATTCCCTGCCCCATCCCTTCCTACCTGCAGGGAAAAGGAGAAGTGGCCGAGCTGCAGGTCATCAGGACCCTTGACCCAACCCTGCATCCCAGCCCTGCCTCACACCCAGAATGCCGGCCTTCCTCACCAAGGGTCTGGCTGACACCTCTGCAATGCTCACCACTGGTCGTTTGGGATTCCCCGGTGATATGGTTTGGCTGTGTCCCCACCCAACTCTCATCTTGAATTGTAGTTCCCATAATCCCCAGATGTCTTGGGAGGGACAGGGTGGAGATAATTGACTCATGGAGCAGTTTCCTCTGTCCTGTTCTCGTGATAGTGAGTTAGTTCTCACGAGATTTGATTGCTTTATAAAGGGCTTCTTTCTTCACTGGGCACTCATTCTCTCTCCTGCCATCATGTGAAGAGGGTCTTTGCTTCTCCTTCACCTTCCATCATGATTGTAAGATTCCTGAGGTCTCCCCAGCCATGCAGAACTGTGAGTCAATTAAACCTCTTTCTTTTATAAATTACCCAGTCGGGTATTCCTTCACAGAAGCGTGAGAATACACTAGTACACCTGGGGAGCAAGTCCAAGGGTGAAAGGCGAAGCTGAGAGCAGTTACCTTCCAGCTGGAGGCACCCCCCACCCCCCACACAGGTGCCAAATGGGTAACAGCTGCCTGTCTGGAGCAGGTGAATCGTTTTGCTCCCTGCAAGCTCAGGCTCCAGAATGGCTGAGCCAGGGACTATGTCCATGAGGCACCCTCCTTCCCATCTGCCAATCACAGTTAGTGCTGGAGGAGACTGGTCTGACCTCAGCTCTGCCCACATGGCCCGGAGCTGTTGCATCCAGCAGGATGTGTAGGGTCCGACCCAGCCACAGAGCATCCCAGGAGGCTAGGCTGCTGCACTCTAGCCGCCTGTGGGAGAGGCCTTTCCCCCCAGCCAAAGGGCAGCAGAGAGCTCCAGCTCATGGAAAACCTGTTCTCAGCAGCTAACTTGGGCCTGTGGGCCACTCAGGGTTTAATTTTGTCCCTGAGTTCCCAAGGGTGATTCAGGCAGGATGAGATTGAGCCCTGGAGGGGACCAAGTGACTTGGCTAGACAATAGAGCCAGTGGCCTCCAGGAAAGTGCAGCTCAAGTCCTGAAGACGGCAGGTGGGGAGGAAGAGGTATGATTAGTGGGTATCTACTGCTGAGTCCTGGGATCTCATTTAATCCCCTAACAACCATGGGAGAGAGTCATCACTCCCCCAGTTTCAGAAGAGGAAGCTGAATCCAGAGAGTTGCAGGGCTGCAGCTGGGGACCCACAGCATTCAAGGAACGGACTGGGATCATCTGACTCCAGTGCCCGGGCTGGAAACTGGATGGGGTGCTGCTAACTCGGATTGCACATGGGTGGCGTCTTCAATAAGGAAGACACCATCTGCGCGGGGTTCGCCAAGCACACCCCCAAGCGGGAAGCCCAGGACCAGGTAGGCACTCCCACCAGGGGCAAGGTATTCGTGAGAGACAGTCCTGGGCTTCGCAGGCCAGGGCTTCTGCTGTGGAGGGGTCCTTACCAAGGGCTGAAATGGGCAGGGATAGCGACTAAATCAGACAACTTACCAGTCGAGGATGGCTGGAGATTTGTATGAGCGGCTGGGGTTTACAGCAGAGGCTTGCAAGGAAGGCTGAGGTCATAGCTCTGCCCATTCTTTCTGTCCCACTCTTCTGTCTTGGCTACTCTCGTCTGAAGGAAACTCCCAGCCAGCTGCAAACAGCCCAATGTCCTGCAATGGACTTTGCTCCTCAGATCTGCTAACTTGGGTGACACCCTTATGAAATCCTGCTGGTGCCCCCCTCTACATGCATGTGGGTGTTGGAGAGAACAGGGCCAGGGTTAGGCCTGGTGGGGCCTGGGCACAGCAGGAGACACAGGAGGGGAGGCCTCCAATGCCACCCTGAGCCAACTGCAGGTAGCCCTTTGCCGGTCCCTAGGGGACATTGCTGGATAATGGAGCCTCACCCTAGTGGGTGTCTCCCTACATGTAGAGTGCCATAGGCTGGGAGGCTGCCCTGCCCCTTCTCTCCCATCAGAGGCATATGGGTTCTTCCCTTGCTCTGCTCTCGATAAATGGGGAACACTGTCTTCTCTCCCTGGGACCTGGCTTGGCTCTCTGGGACCTGGCTTGGCCCTCTGAACTGGGAGGTAAGCTGGGGGCTGGTTCCTGATTGCTCCAGAGCAAAGGCCCGTTTTGAAGAAGGAAGAGAGGACGTCTCACTCTTTCCCTGGATCCTCTCCTCCCCTTCCATGGACACTCTTTTCTCCCTCCTAGGACTTGGGGCCTTTGTCTGGCTTTCCCCATGCCTTGCTGTCTGCCTCTGCCCATCCCCCTTCAGAACACTGCCCAGGGTGAGGATCAGACTCTTGTCTGTCCATCTTCATCTTGGTTATTTGAAACCCAAATAAACCGATAGCAAGAGGCAGCCAGGGCTGGGAGCCAGGACGCCAGGACCGCAGGGGTGCTTATTTTAGCGGATGATGTTCCATTGCTGGGTTGGAGTCCGCCCAGGACTTGGCACTGACTCACAGCTCAGCTCCCAGGGGCTCTTGGCTGGCTCTTCCTCCACCACTGTCTCCTTCCCTCCTTCTGGAAGAGGTGTCACTGTCATAGAAACATGTGCTGGTCTTGGTTCCCCCTAGACCCGGCTGGGTATGGGGCCCTGCAAATGGCCCCTCCAATACATACACACACCCCTTTATTCCTGGGCATTCAGGCTGAAATAAACGGAGAGGGATGTCTGGAAGGGAGAGACATAAAGTGTGTGTGTGTGTCTTTGTAGCCACCAGCCAGGCTCGGGCTGGCAGGCAGAACCAAGGCCCTTCCCAGTTCTGCCCCAGGGGCCATGGGCTTGAGTGTGAGCACACATGTCCAACAGTTAAGGGAATGAGCATCTCTTATGTGCCAGGCACTGCTATAGGCACCGACACACAGCAGTGAACAGAAGGACCAAGTATTCTAAATGGGAGAAACAGGCAACACACATATGGGAGATAAACATAGGATAGGTCAGCAGGGAGGATAATGCCGGGTGAGGGGGTAGAGTAAGGGAGGGCAGGTTCTATTTAGGCTTGGGAGAGTGAAACCCACATTGGTGCCAGGTGTGAGTCCTGGGGCTTTCCTGTGGTGGCCACATTCTTCTTCCCACTCCCTTGCAGGTTGATCAGTTGCATAGTTTCTGCCTCTGCATTTTTATTCCTCTTCTATTCCCTTTTTTTCCCCACAAAAACCCTCCCTGGAGGGCTGTTCCCAGGGTGGCCTGTGAGGCTTGTGCAAAGTTAGGGACCCCGGAAAGGCTCCAGAGATCACTGAGGCCAGGGCTGCTCAAATGCTCACTGTAATTTGTCATCAGGGGCGTGCAGATTAAAACTGCAACGAGATGCCACGGATGCCCATCAAAATAGATAATATGAAAAAAGATGGAGGTTGGGTGTGGTGGCTCACGCCTGTAATCCCAGCACTTTGGGAGGCTGAGGTGTGCTGATCACCTGAGGTCAGGAGTTCAAGACCAGCCTGGCCAACACGGTGAAACCCTGTCTCTAATAAAAATACAAAAAATTAGCCGGGCGTGGTGGTGGGCACCTGTAATCCTAGCTACTTGGGAGGCCAAGGCAAGAGAATCGCTTGAACCCACAAGGCAGAGGTTGCAGTGAGCCAAGATCTCACCACTGCACTTCAGCCTGGGCCACAGAGCAGGACTCCATCCAAAAAAAAAAGGAATCTACCAATTGTTGGTAAGGATATGGAGTGACCAGAACTCTTATGCATGGCTGATGGGAGTGCAAATTGACACAACTTTGGAAAGCCATGTGACAGTTTCACTCAAGTTGAACGAAGGCCTAAACTCTGACCCAGTGATCCCCATCCTAAGTGTATACCCAAGAGAAAGGAGTATGAATATTTACCAAAAGACATGTACTAGAATATTCATAGCTACACTCTTCATCATCGCCCAAAGCTGGGAACCACACAGATGTCCATCAACGGTAGAATGAATAAACTGTGATATACTCAGCATGGAATACTACATAGCAATTAAAATAACAATCTACAGTTCCATGAAACAATATGGGCAGGTCTCGCAACGTGTTGTTAAATGAAAGGAGACACAGTGATTTCATTCACATGAAGTTCAAAGGAACCTGTCCTGCTAGCAGTCAGGAGAGTGGTCACCCCTGGCAGGAGGTGGTGGGTGGTGGGGCAGAGGCTGGGGCTTGTGGGGAAGGGGACCTCTTGGGGTGCTTGTAATATTCTACTTTTGATTCAGATGTTGGGTGTGTCCAGTCTGTGAAAATGTACTGGGCTGTACGTTTGTGAAAGTTATACTTTTTTGTGGGTATATTGAACTTTAATAAAAAGTTTTTAAAAATTAGTCTTGTTTGGGCCTCAACACAGATGATTTAAATCAGAATCTCTGGCGTGGGGCAGGCATAGGTAAGTGTAATATGATTATAATGAGCAGCTAGGGCCAGATCCCAGCACAGTTCTCTTTCCGCTGGGTCACACTGCCTGCCCTCCACAGGCTCCAGTCAGAAGCTTGAACGCTGTCCCCACCTTTGCCAGGAGAGGGTCTCTGCTTTAGCACATCAGCGTCTGATCCCATGGGGCATGGTTCCCGCTGGCATGGTTTTCAATGTGTGAATTATTCTGCTCCCAAATTGCTGGGTGATGTCAGAGAAGTCACAGAACCTCTTGGGGCCTGAACTAGTAAACGAGGGCTCTGAACATCAGGATAGCCAAGAGTCCCTCCAGTTAGAGGGATCACAATACCCTCGTAAGACAGAATTTCAGCCAAAAGAAGCTTCTGGTCTGATAAACCCAAGAACTGGGAAATGACTTGGGAATATATTCTTTTGTAAAGAGTGAGGTTAAAAAAAAAAAAAATCAGTTTGAATCTGTTTTTCTTTTTGTAAATGGAAACAAAGACACGTGGAAAGTCAGAAAAAAGCTCATGGATAGCACACAGGAGCTGAGCAGCATGCAGCTGAGACCACAGTGAGTATTTGGCGACTGTCTGGGTTGACTATGACTACGCATCAAACTACCTCAATCCCCAGTGGCACGAAACAACCGTTTTATCATCGCTTGTGGTTTGTGGGTCAGGAAGTTGTGGGTGGTTTGTCTCCGCTCCACGTGGCATTAGCTGTGGCAGCTTCAGGTGGAGGATCCACCTCCAAGAGGGCATCTTCACCCCTCTGTCTGGTGCCGGATGCTCCAGGGGCCCTGGGTGTTGCTTGCTTGGGCTTCCTCACAACATGGCAGCTACAAAGCATCTCATGACCTAGCCTTGGAAGTCTCAGGACATCATTTCCACTGCATTCTATTGTTAAATCAATCACTAGACCACCCAATATTCAAGGGGAAGGAAGAAATACACTCACCTCTTGGGTGGAGTTTGGTGTGTACGTGTGTGTG